CAGTGTCTCCGTATTAAGCGCATTTGCTCTGACCCAGCTGACTACGAAGCCCACATATGCTCCCTTACTAAACACTTTCTTAACAGTAACTACCCCTTTAAAATTATTAAATCCCAGCCACACGCCCCCGCTATGAACGTTTAAACCCTAAACCCAAATCTGATTCTGACCGTATACCATTAGTTTTTAACTTCAATTCTCATACCACCAAGTTGGCCAACACTATCAAGAAAGATTTTCGTACCCCTTCGACAGGACCCTAATATAAAAAATCTCTATCCCAACCCTCCCTTACTCGCTAACCGCCAACCCCCCAACCTCAAGTCTATCCTCACGTCGTCCAATTTACTCCCTAACCCAACTTTCTATGGTAATATTAAATGCAACAAACCACGCTGTAAAGTATGCAAGCACCTCTTCACCGACAGCGTTGTTAGGCTCCCACACACCTCTTCTTCTATCAATCCCCCTCCCCTCACCTGTGACTCTTCGAACGTTATATATCTCCTCATGTGCAATATCTGTGATCATGGCTCTTATATAGGCGAAACTGGAACTAAATTTAGACTCCGGTTTAATAACCACAAACAGCCCGTCCGTAGCAAGAGCAAGGGGTTCCCTGTCGCTGAAAACTTTAACTCCCCTGGCCACTCCATTGACAACATCCGATGTGTTCTGCTGGCTAACAATTTTCCAACTCTTGACCATAGAAGACGCTCAGAGCTCAAACTCATTATCAAATTCAATACTCACATTTTAGGCCTTAATCGTGACATGGGCATTCTGAGCAATTACACATTCACACACACTTGACTTTCTTTCATACCACCGTATTCCCGTTTCATTACTTTATGTACACCTTGTTATATTCCATATCACTTGTATTATGCTATATTTAATTTTGACTTCTGCATTAATATCTAGACTTACCTAGTTTACTTCGTTTTTGCTTATTTTGTTAATGGTTTATTATTATTATTATTATTATTATTATTATTATTATTATTATTATTATTATTATTATACTATATTACATTATATCATATACCGGTACTGTACATATATATGTATGTGCATTAGGCTTATATATTATCTTATAAATTTTATTGTCATTGTATTTATCTGTATCATGGGCTATCGCTTCCACTTCCGATATCAAAGTACTTTGTTTTTACTCATTATCTCGCTCCCATTATATATCATTATCCCCATGTCTCCAATATTGTTTATCTCATTTAATCACACTCCTTTATTTATTGCCGACTGTTTATTGTTTTACATTGGATCTGGTATTTGCCAACTTTTGTAATCAGTTATGCTGATGAAGTCTTGAGGACAAGACGAAATATTCGTTTTCTAAATAAATTTTATTGTGTTCTACTGTCTAACTCAACGTTTCCGCATCATTATTTTTTGTCTTATTTTCTGTTTGAGTCTGGTTGGGCCCAGCTAGTGTAGGTCATGCTTGGCTTAGGGTAGGCTGGACTAAGCTAGGCTAGGCTAGGCTAGGCTAGGCTAGGCCGAGCCGATGCTTCCACGGGACCCTAGTGTGTGGGTGTGTGTGGGTGTGTGTGTGTGTGTGGGGGTGTGGGTGTGTGTGGTGTGTGTGTTTTTTTTTTATAAATCACCTCTAAAAATACAGGTGGAGTTTTTTAAACTCCCAAGTACACCAATTGGCAAATTATAGCAAAACTTGTAATACGGATTGCTTAGGCTAAGAAGTTTTAATGTGCCTTCTTGCTTAAATTCCCAAGATTTTACCAATGTCTCATAATGATGTTTTAAGACAGTATGTTGGATTTCAAACAACAGTCAAAAAGATGTTTACAGATGTTTTCATTCTGTTAGGAATTACTACATAGAAAGGAGAGCTATCAGGTAAAACAAACAAAAACATAATATTTTATACTTACTTTTATTATAAAGAAAAAATATTTCATTATTTTTATTACGTCATATTGGAAATAAAACAAATCTTATCATCACTTGAAATTATAAGAGGTTTAAAAAATTGGTTGTTAATTATCACAGATACTAATTTCACGATGTTAACTTAAGCAAAGTTTGTTAGCAAGCAGACTTGTACACAGATGAGATATTCTTTCGTTAATAAAACAGCGTGGATATGTAGATTTTGTTCGTCTTATATATTTATAATCACATAAAGAGTGTAGCTTTGAAATAAGTCTGAATAAAACAGTTTTATGGAATTGGCAAGAAAAATATTGTGTATATCCTAACAACACTACGATGATGACCTGTTGGGCAAACAGATTTGGACAACATAATCAATTCAATCAAACCAACATTTGCTATTAGAATAGAGCTTTACACTCAAAAATCGGAATTCCAGCTTCATATTCTTATGCAAATTCGGAATAGTCTAGAACAAAGTAGACTAATCTGTGTGTACCATGAATGGAAATGGCAAAATAAATGATAAATACAATAGCTTTCACGTTCTTTCTGGTTCTGATTGTGGCGCGTTACTATATCAACTGTTCTGTGTGGATACAGGAGCGTTGTGACTGAGTTTTACATGATGTAGGCCCTTTTACTGATTTTTTTTCCATGTCTTGTGATTGAAGCTTTAATTTACATTTACTACTGACGGTGCTTAGCGGATATCTGGTGGTAGTTCATTTCATTCAGCAAACGTTATTGGGAAAAGAGAGAATATGTAACAGTCTTTATTATATGAGGCTTGTCATCCCAAATACAGCGTATTGCCGCTAATCGTTAAACTGACTAGTAATTAGTATAAGTATTGCGTACCGTACTTTAGTACAGAGAAGGACTTTTACTGTTATTTATTTAATATTAAGTCGATTCTATTCTACGACTCATCATTTTAGAGCTTATAATGTGAAGAATAAGAATATGTTTACAAGTCATTTTCTATCTTTTTGGTCGCTGATGCTGGTCTGGGATGACTGGTCCATATGTGGCCGGTTTCCTGTATGTAACTGCGGCTCGTTGTCTTGTTTTACCCCCCCCCCCCCAATTCTGTTATAATTGACCTGGTAGAGTCAGTTTCAATGACAATGATCTTGGGTACAGACATTTACAGGAATAAGACGTTGGGTTGCCCTGCGGTATTCCAGAGACTCCCACATCACCGGGAAATCATTTATGTGACGCTGGATTTCTTCCTATTGTTATTAAAAACAAATCTGACTAAGTGCCGTTGAACACCCTCTGATTTTGATTTATATTCTTTTTGATGAGAGTCACAAATTGATGAGCATACCTCTAGTCGTGTCCTAACGAGTAAATGAGCCCACAGTCAATTCATTCTGCTCAAATAACTGAAAATAGAAACAATAGCAAAAGACTAGAAGATGACGAAAGTGAGCTTTACTTGAGATATGTCATTTATAATACAACATTACAGTGTTACACAGACACTACCAATCCAGTTCTTCTTTCGACAGCAACAGCATAACTGTAATGTTCAAGGTATTAAAAACTTCCTTACATTTCATGTCACATGAAATAAGTACATAGGAAGAGGCATAGCTTTTATCTTGTGCTATTAAAAGTGCTATTAAAACAATCAGATTGAAGGAACGATCATATTATATTTTATCCATTATTTATATAACCTTCTATATATGAAATTAATTAAACCATTGTAAACAAGAGCACTCTCACCAAAGCAACTCTCAATGACAATCAAATATTCCAGGCACGGATCAGCAAACTTAACACCAAGTACAAAATATTTATAGGGAACCGAAACTTGTTAACTAACAGTAAATATGTATTATTTATGTATTACGCAAATTATGCATTTATAATAGTATTTACTGGTAAACATGCTATTTTCGTTATTATATTCATCATTCAATTTATAATTTCAATATAGGCTGTATTTCCACGATTTCCATTTGTTAAATATTTGTTATAGAAATAATTAAACGATAAAAATAATTCATAATTTGCGCAAAACAATAATGGCTCTAAAACAGCCTTTATATATCTTTAAATTCTGTGCCACATTAATCTCCATTTAGTAACTTAGAATATGAGAACCTGCAAATAATGAAATAGAAGCACGTTAGCGCACATACAATGGTTTAAAAGAAGTATAAAAAATTAGACGACACAAGTTAGTGTTATGAAAAAAAATCTATATTTGGGGTTTCATTGAATGTTGTATTGATTTACGGTTGCTAGGAAGAAATTATAGCTACAATTACTATCAAGGATGCTAATTTCAATGCCTAATATAAAATCCTAAAATAAAGTATTAATTTAGAAATAATGTGGTGTCGTACGGTTGAACGAATGCTATATCACTACTAAGACAAATCGATAAATAAGAATTCATTTGAAAAGGGTAGAGCCGTGTAAACAATTGTGAGCTTCATGATTATCAGACTTCGTTGACGACGTTGACGATGTAATCAACTCTAATAGCCAGCTACCATGTGGTGATATTAGATTTCTCGGTGATTTGACAAAGAGCCACTACAAACATTATTTGAAGTAAATTGTTTTTTGCAAATTTAGTAACCAGCTTGTGTTTGGACAGTTTCATCTATTTTTCTGAATCTTTATTTACAACATGAGCGCCCAAAGAACCTCAGAAGTGGATCCAACCTTCAATGTTAGTCGGAAAATAATTTCAACAGGTAATTCCGTCATAGGGAAAGAAAACACATTGAAATCCTTTGTTGATGACTTGTGCACGTTTACTGGTGAAACATCACTGCATGGGATACGTTTTGTCGGTAACAAGTCAATTCGCATTGCTAGAAGGTAAGTATGACTAAGCTGTTTTCACATTATTAATTCAATTCAATTCTTTATTTCAAAAACAACAAAAAGTACAATAGCAGCCCAAAGGGCTGAATTGGAGTACAAATTTACAGCAAAGGTACACAATTAAAAAAAAACAGAAGGAAACATCAAAAATACAATAAAAACAGTTCAAGTAAAAAGTCTAATAAAATCAAAATATAAAAATCGGTCAAGAAATCAAAAATACGATTAAAAAAAAAACCAATTCAGTAACAAATCCACAAAATAAGAACATCAAAAAATACAATTAAAAAAAAAAAAACAATTCCGTCACATTTCACAATATAAAAGGGCATTAAAATCGTTAAAAATCAGTTTTACATATTACATAAAAAAGGTCAGAAGAAGAGTGAGTCACTGGTTGATGAGGTTGGTGAGGAAGGGGATAGCACTACTCTTGTACCTTTTAGTGAAGCACAGAGGGTTTTCAAACTTGCGGTGATTTCTAAGTGGCATATGATGTGTAGATTGATTATGGGCGAACCATTTATTGAAACGTTTAGAGCGAAAGCAGTTAAGAGCAAAAGTATGACATATAGCATCTCTTCTCACAGAGAGTTTAGAGAGATTACACTGAGAGAGTGCCCATGTATAACTGCTATGGTAAGGTACACCAAGAATGAGTTTCACGGCTCATTTTTTAATAGATTCTATTGCATTAGATTGTTTAATAGTAAGGGATGAGTGCCAAACTGGGACACAATATTCAACACATGAACGGACATATGTCGTATAAACCTTGACCAAATCATCCTTAGGAACTCCAGACTTTTTGAGTCGACGGAGCATATGAATCCTGCGGCTCCCTTTTAAAACAATCTCCAGGATGTGGGTCTCCCACTTAAGATTATTCTGGACCTCCAAGAATTTTCGCCTGATCATTAACAATATCTAAGGAGATATGATCAAGTGAAGTTACAGGTGGGTTAGGAGGGGATTTTAAAAAGCAAATCTACAGTGTCTTGCATTTGGTAGGGTTTAAATTAAAGTTGCTAGTATCACTACACTCAACAAGGTCATTTACATGGGTTTGCATAAGTGATGGTTCATTCTTATTATGCACCTCGAGCAAGCTGATGTCATCAACATACATAAAGTAATTCAAACCATTACTATTATTACATGCACTGTTAATGGTAGCAAGAAAAATAATAGGGCCAAATTTGTGCCTTGTGGCACACCACATTGAACAGTTTGCCAATCAGACAACTTGGAATGATAACGTACCCTCTGTCTTCTAGACGACAGAAAATCAATTATCCAAGGTATGATTTCAGTCCTAGTTCCTAAGGATAACAGATTGTTTACAGCAACAGTATGGTCGATATGATCGAAGGCTTTAGAAAAGTCGGTAAGTACAGGTGTTCCTATGGAAGAGCCTGAATCACGTGACTTACTGTATATAATAAATCTAACTTTTCGATTGAATAATGAGTAGCTGATGTCCCTTTGAGACATCCAAATTGAAAAGGATCAAGATTTGAATGGATATCATTAAGGAGCCATTCGTAAATAAATTCCTCAGCAATCTTGGCGAACTTGGAGGTCAGAGATATTGGTCTGAGTTTGTCAATTGTAGCTGGTGTTTCCTTCGGAAGAGGGACAACTATTGCGTCCTTCCATGGTGAAGGTACAATGCCTTCCTTAAACGACGAATTCAAGATATCAATAAAAAGTATAGCGAGTTCGCAAGCAAAAGTTTTAATAAGTTTGTTGGGTACCTTATAGGGACCAACAGATTTACTGGCACATACTCGTGAAAGCTTAAGATATACATCCCATAATGTAACTTCAGGAGGGCGATTAGCAGGTAAGTAGCATGACAGTTTACGTAAGTCGATAAGGGGTTAAGATTGAACATGATCAGCAAATTTTGAACTAATAGCTTCGGAAGTGGCTTGCACATTTGATGCAGGTATCCCAGGAACATCGATAAGTGGTGGTTGACGGAGTTGGTTTGCAATAAGCTGTATTCCCTTATGCCATTTGGCCGGGTCAGATGATTTAAAAAGACTAACACGATTCTTGTAAAAATGCTTCTTGCCAGATTGAACAAGTTTGTTGACTTTGTTTCTATAATGTCGCCAATTGGCTGATTTTCCTTCAGTAGCGAAGAAATGTTGACGCAATAAAATTGCCTCTTTAGGAGCACTAGTATTCCATGGTTTATCCTTGATGTGTAATGCAGCCACGTTGACCCGAAAGAATTTTTCAATGGCATTAGTTAAAGTATTGTAAAAGGCAACAGTCTTTGAGTTTGTATCTGAACAGAGAGTTACCTCTGTCCAATCGTGAAGAGTAATCCAATGACCGAATTGCTTTATAGCGTGCTCCGGTAGAGGACGAATATACTTCTTATGGATTAGGTTTTTAGATTTCGCTATTACTGATGGGGCCCAGACAATGCAATTGTGATCACTTTTGGCAATCGGTGTATGGATATCAGGCGTATTGTAAAAAATTTAGTGATGTTTGTAAAAATCAAATCGAGGGTAGCGTCATTGCGAGTATGGCCATTAACAACTTCCTTGAGTCCGTGGGCTCTTTCAAGAAGGTTGGTATTCGTTCACTTGAAGTCGCCAATAATCACCAAACCAGCATCTGGATGGTGGAGTTTAATATTGTCAATCCCAGAAATTATGTGGTCAACATACATTTCACGAAGAGATAAAGGCGCTCTTGTCGGTATGTACACACCGCGCAAACAACGATCAAAGAAACTGTACGGGGAAGCCTTACGGGGCGAAGCATCACCCACACGCATTCGACCTCATTTGGTACTTCAACACGTCCCACTATGTTCGAATTTAGACAATTTTGAGCATAAGCAGCAACACCTCTTCCTTTTCTAGTCTTACGATAATTGGAATGCAGGGAAAATCCATCGATTTGTAGCAAATCGTACACAGAAACTTGATAAAAACAGGCGAAAATAGAACAGCAAAAAGTTCCACAAAAACACCAAAACTTCACAAACGTTCACTAGACAGGAAAGTTAAGAATAAAATCGTTAAAATTAAGGACAAAACGACACCTCGCAATAAAATAACAATACAGCAAGTATGATAAGATCAGTGATAATAAGATTGTTGACGTATTATGATTTACAGTATTTTGACAATGACTAAGTAGGATTATATACACTGATCAACATCTATATCATCAATATTAGGTAAGGAAAAATGTAAAACTCATAACGATAATCCAAATTTTCATTTATTGTTGAAAAACACATAAAACAATAAATTGATTATTTTCATTTTAGTAAATTGATTTTATTAAAAAATCATTACGGGTAAGGGTAATGCAACAGATTACAACACAAAACAAGCTTTTTATCATCCCACTGTTACATTCGAGGAGCCACTGCCAACTTCAAAAGGAGCCATCCTGCACCTAACTCCCCTCTGATTCAACAACTACTTTTGTGTATTTAATTCTGATTGAAATGTGGCAACAATTTTAATCCAATTCAATTGTTAAATTTTATCTATTATCCTATTTACATGAAAATAAAATTGTGTTTTTCATTCATTTATATTTTATTGTATTTAGTCTCAATATTTAATTAATGTAAATTGAATGTGTGTATAATTATGATGTAATTTGTAATAATGTTTTTTATTATAATAATTAAATTGTCATTTTTATCATTGTAGTTCAATTTGTAAATATTATTATCATTCGAATTTTATGTAATTGTTTATTCATATACAGTATATATTTATATATACACATATTAGGTTAATTACTATGTACGTATTTAGTCCCAATGTTTAATTAATTTTAAATAAATGTGTACATAATTTTTATGTTGTGATTTGTAATAATGACAATGAAAAAAATATTTATTACCTATGAAAATTTAACAATTTTAAATTTATTTTAAAATGAAGAAAATGGAAAAATCATGAAGATGTTTATTATGAGCATTCTATTTCTTTTCTGTAAATTATAATATTTAAATTTTAATTAAATTTAAATATTTTATTCTCATTAAATCTTTATGTACATATATATATATATATATATATATATATATCATTCGTGTACACTTTATATTTATATAATATTATTATGTTATTTTTTATGTACAAATTATTGCAATTCAGCTTATTGCTGAAAAATTTGAGTTTGATTAAACATGAACTTGAACTTACAATGATGAAACTGGAAATATAATAAAAAGGAAGCAAAAAAGTAAATAAAATGTAAATATGTTGTTGTTTCGAGAACTGACATAATCTTTATTCTTGCAATTTAGGTGTTTTTGGAGTATTTTAGTCACTTCAGCGTTATGCACACTGGGGTACTTATTGAGAAAAAGCGTAGTATACTACCAATCGCTTCCAGTTGCTACTAAGATTTCGATTGATCGCAATTCAGAGGTTGGTTTTCCGGCCGTTACGTTTTGTAACTACAATCAATTTCGAAAGTCACGGATGACGCCCGACGAGAAGGCCTTACTCCATGGCTATCACAACGATATTTCGTCGAATTATTCCCAGATAAACGACTGGAACATGACGGAGATATTCTACCGATCTAGTCACCCTATTGAAGACATGCTTCTGTTATGTTTATGGAAAACTATTTCACCATGTGGTCCTGAAAATTTTACAACTCAGATATATGATTTTGGAGTATGCTACACTTTTAATGGTATTGCAAATGACATCACTCTAAATGTATCAAATGCTGGTGTTTCCAGTGGATTGATTTTATTAATTAATATTAACGAGACAGAAAATACCGGTGATAGATACGGAATCGCAGGAATTAAGGTATACTGCTCATTACAACTGTCTGCCTTTGTATAGGCCCACCCATATTTTTATATAATACTATTTTTATTTTGAATATTTTTGAGTAAATTGTTCTATAGATCAATTATATGTAACGGACCAATACAAGAATTGATTCATACCTTATTCGATCAGATTGTGCAATGGACTTTTTTATTGTTGAAATGTATAGTACATTATTTTCAATAGGCCTATGTTTTTATTTTATTTTTTATTTTTTGTCTTTCGCGGAGTCGCCCACTTTTATTGTCACTCTTTTTTTTATTGTATTCATTCATATTTTAATTATATACATGTATAACACTTTTGTCGAAATTAAAGCCTTTTTTTTACTAAGTATGTTTTTTCCATGGTAAAGTTTGAAACAAAAAGAAAATATTAAGTGGAAATTCATTAAATTGTAAAATGTACAATAACTAAATTTTTATTTACAATTTTAGGCCAAGTTAAAAATAAAGTAGTTTCTCGTTCTAATCTTTTGAAAAGAGGGAGAATGAGGGCACTTATTCTTTTTTACTCCACGATGGCAAATCCAAAATAGTCGATTGAAACAGCTTCTACTTTATCACTTTTACCAAGTGATTTTTTTTTTAAGTAGACACAACGAAAGCAAATAAAAGAAGCACTAGACATGAATTATACTATACATGTATTCCCAACAACGAACGCTTGATAGAAGAATTTTACTGATGTGTGTTTTTATACAATTCATAAAATAAAGGAAATAAGAAAATGATGATGCAGAGAAAATTGATGCTCAATGGGACGAAAAACTAGTATTTTTTTTATTTGATCTCAATATTTATAACTTATTATCTTGGTGTATTATAATTATACTTAAATTGTATGGTCTGTATGGAATGTTATTATATATTTTGTGTATAATCTAAATCAGACTTGTTAAAGTTGTCACTTCCCTTTAGATGATGGTACATCCCTCCAACGAGCGACCTCTAGTGCAGGCATTTGGATTCTCAATAGCGCCAGGTTTTCATGCAGACGTAGCACTAAGGAACGTTCAGGTAAAATATTGTAAATAATTGATAAAGGTAAAGGGTGGGAGATTAACCCATAACCTCGCAGCGTCATTGTGCTGAATGTGTATGGGCGTGGTCCGTGACAATATAGATGCCAAAGTTAACCAACAACCTCATTGACATGTTATTGCGTTTCCAACAAGAGCACTTTTAGATTATGAGAGACATTTTATCAATGTTTTATCTAGTTCGCCTTCCTAAAAATAAGTGCCTGCAAAGTATGGACGAAATAAATAAAATGAAATGAATGAAATAACCCGGTCCTGAATTGCGTATGGGCGTAGTCCGTGACTACCTAGCCGCTGTAAAGATCATTCCGCAGCGACAGGGCCTGGAGGAGCTGACGTTATTTATATGTTCAGCGTCTGAATGTGTACCCCTAAATGAACAGCGATCACCTTAGTCAGCGCTGGATGTGGCGAGTCCCGCGAGCGATTGTCATATGCCCGCAACAAGAATGCCTCCCAAAACTCTTAATATTTTTATTCTGAATGGAAATTTAAATCAAATCATGAATCCCTGAATCATTCAAAATGTATACGTGTAAAAAATGTCTTCTATGCTAACTTTATTTCATTTTAGGCGATTTAATATACACCACTTTCGACTTCGCTCAATGCATTAGCGTAGCTTTTTGGGCAATGTTCATAAATACATACTCACTCGGCGAAATCGCGATGACATTATTTTTGGCGAATAATTTGTCCTATTGCTGATGTTTGTGTCATTAATTCCCTCTACTCTTCATTTACCATTAAATTAACGTTAATATTATATATATATATATAT